ACATTGGAAGATTGCATTTGGCATTTACACAACTTACCATGTAGGGACTTTATTATCCCTCCTTCTGCTGACCAGGAGGCAGCCAGGTCTAGGAATGAGACAGCTAACTCCAAAATCCACACTTCTTTGTTTAGCTTTTTATTCTGAACTAACTTCAGACTTACAGAAAAGTTGAAATTTCCAGATTTCCATTATATACTTCACTAAGAGTTCCCAAATTTAACATTTATGTACATATTATTATTTTTTGCACCATTTGAGAGTTAATTGAAGACATAATGTCCCTTTATTTCTAAATACTTCAGTGTATATTTTGTAAAAATGACTCTCTTACACAACCAGAGTATAATTATCAGACTCTGGAAACTAACATTGTTACAATACTATAATCTACAGACCATATTCAGTTTTCACTAATTGTGTCCCACCAGTGTCCTTTAGAGCAAAGGAAAACCTTCTCTTCTGGTCCAGGACCTAATCCAGGGTCACACTGTGCATTCAATTGTCATTTCTCTTTAGTCTCATTTAATCTGGAATGGCTCCTTTATTCTTTGTTTCTTATGACCTTGATACTTTTGAACAGTACAGGCCAGTGATTTTGTAGACTATCCCTTAATTGAGGCTTGTTTATTGTGTCCTCATGATTAGATTCAGGTTATGCAGCTTTGGCAGGAATATCACAGGAGACACGTGATGTGTCCTGTTACTGTTGATGTGTGGCTTCTGATCAGTCGGTTAAGGCAATGGGTTAAGGCAATCAATGTCTGGCGGGGTTTCTCTACTGCAGTTACTTTTTTTTCCCTTTGTAATTAATAGTATCTTATGTTAAGATTACAAGAATATTCACCCTTGATGAACTATTTTATCTTCCTTGAACCCATTCTTTTATTAGAGCCACAGTTCTTACTGTGAAGAAGAACAGTAAGGGTGATCCCCTTCCACCAGGATATTTGGCAATGTCCAGAGATGTTTCTGTTTGTCACAACCAGGGGGGAGGTGGGGTGCTGCTGGCCTCTAGTGGGTAGAGGTCAGAGATGCTGCTCAATATCCTACGATGTGACAGACTGTTTTCCCATCCAAAATGTGCCAAGGTTGAGAAACCCTGTTTCAGAGTAATTTATTAAAAGCGAAGTGAAGGAAGTTGTATGGCCAGGTTTGGTGGCTCATGCCTGGAATCCCCCAGCACTTTGGGAGGCTGAGATGGGAGGATTGCTTGAGGCCAGAAGTTCAGGACCAGCCTGGGCAACATAGTGAGTCCCTGTCTCTGCAAAAAATTAAAAAAGAAATTAGCTGGATATTGTGGTGTGCATCTGTAGTCCCTGTTACATGGGAGGCTGAGACATGAAAATCGCTTGAGCCCAGGAATTTGAGGTTATAGTGAGCTGTGATCAGGCCACTACACTCTAGTCTGGGAAACCAGTCTCTTAAAAAAAAAAAAAGTGAGGTTGTAGGAATGAAGAAGTGAAATCTTCAAGTTTGTTTATTTTACAAGGTAGACTTGATACCTCACTGACAATCAGCAGGGGCATCTAATGAACCTGAAAAGATAGTGTGTCGGTGGTTCCACTAAAGACTCTTCTAGACCAGGTGCAGTGGCTCATGTCTATAGTCCCAGCTACCAAGGAGGCTGAGGCAAGAGCATTGCTTGAGGCCAGGAGTTCAAGGCTGCAGTGAGCTATGATCATGCCACAGCACTCTGACCTGGGTGACAGAGCAAGGACCTCATCTCTTAAAAAAGAAGAAAAAGATTGTTCTATATTTTTGGCAGTGGTGGAAGTTAAGAGTTTGGATCATAAAAGTGAGAGGAAGTCACCTTTTCTGGCTTGCTTTTCCTGGCTTGTTAATTTTCCAAGTGAAGATGTGGTTTTCTTGCACAAAACTATATATAGCACTTAAACACAAATAACTTTACATATAACCAGTGACATTTGAGTAAGTTCTGTGGATTATGCCAATGTCAATTTCCTGGTTTTGATATTGTACTACAGTTA